TTCAGGAACTACATCGTGCCACCTCCCAGGCCCTAGGGTGTAGCTATGCGACTTCATCTCTGCCGGGGAGACACATCCAGGCAGAACTCCTAAGGAGAGCTACGGAGGTGGGGTGCAGGCCTCCTTCCCTGGACAGGGGCAGGGGCAGGGGCAGCATGCTGCTCCAGGGCCAGTGGCCGTACCAGCCAGGCCAGCTCTGGGTCTTTCCCGGAGGCCATGCCTGCAGCCAGAGGCCCCAGCCCTCCCTGCAAACCCCCTGCGAAGCCCTCTGCTTAAACTCACTCTGGTGGATGCTGGCCTGGGCGGCCAGGGGACACTTGGGTAGTGGAGCACAGCCCACAAACAGCTGAACAAGAAACACAACTTTACTATTCCTACAATTTCTATTCCTAGACCTCTCCACCCTACCAGCTGGCAGGGACGTAGTTGTAGTGACTGCAACCCTCCATGCCTTCTTGCCCAGGGCTGTGTCTGTGTGGGGCTGTGGGCAGCAGGATGGCAAATCTGTCCACACAGGGTGTTTGTGGAGACACCCCTGGGCCCTGGGCCTTCAGCCCTTGGCTAATGCCCGGTGCACACTGGCTGCCACCAAATGGCTTCTCCCTTGTCTGCATCCTAACCCCATCCTCTGTTGGTTCTGAAGCTGCCAGGGACCCACCTGCCCTGACCACCTTCACCCGGGGCCACTCTGAGGTCTTGGTGCTCTGGGATTGCTGCCCAGGATGCCAGGTGCCACCTCTCTGGGACTCATCCCAGCCTCAGCCCTCAGCAGCTCCCCTTCCCCTGCTTGGGCCAGGGGGTCTCTCATCCTGGTTGGAGGGTAGTGCCTCCCTCCCGCTCTGTGTTGTGAGACAAAGTAGAAAATGTAGGAAGCTGTGTGTGCATCCCGCCTGCGGGCAGGATTTCCCGAGCCCCTGACTCGGGACTGGGTGTAGCTTGTGGAAGGGTGCCCCGGAGGCCATGAGCGGGCTGCAGACCGGGTCCCTATTCTCCTGCCTGAGTCACGGCGTTTTTAGAAAGACGAGTTCAATGATCCTGACTCTTGCTTCTTCCCGCATGAAAGACAATGTTGACAGGATTTTCTATTATGCCCCTAGGATCCGTGGCCAGATGCAGCCTCACACCCAGCCCTGAGGCTCTGCCCCACTGTCACGCCTGGGCACGTGCAGAGCCGCTGCCCACATGCGGATTGTGGGCTGGAACAGCTCTGGAGCAGCCTCCTAGAAACGCTAGGAAAGACCCCCGGGTTGCAATCTTCAGCAAGGCTTCTGAATAAAACTAACTTCCATCCTTTAAAGCGTGATTTTTCTTGACTTGGGAGAGTCTTGAGATGTTCTGAAAGGTTCCTCCTCAGACTCCTCCCTCTATCTCACTGTCTGTCTCCGAGAGGCCCACAGCCAGGTGGGTCAGGCTTCTGGAAGTACCAGGCCAGGGGTACGGGGGACCTCGGTGTTCTGTCCTATCAGCCCCTCCTCTCAGGCAGCAAGCAGGCCCAGTTCACCTGCTTCAACAGAGTGGGAGACTTTCAAAGAGAAATCACGAGAAAATAAGAAGCATCCACTCACCGCACCAACAATGGCGGGTTAAATGTAAAGGTAAGAAGGGAAATCCCATTTGCAACATCAAAAAACCATAAATTACCCAGTAATAAGTACATCAAGGAAAGAGCACAGCCCATCACTCAGTCCCACTCAGTGGGGCATCGCTCAGGAGGCCGAGTGAAGAGGCCGGACACCGAGCGGCCGAGCGGGAGACTCGAAGCAGGCAAGACTGCAGCTCCCCCAGCCACACATGCAAGAGACAGTCCCGCTGAAGTGCTAACAGTGTTAGCATTTTCTGCAACCGGAAAAATGGATCCCAAAACCCATCTGTAAGGATACGTTGTGAGAAGTAGCAGTAAGTGTTTAAAAAGAATAACGTGGGACCCTTGCCTTAGCAAGTGTCAAACACGCCGCCTGGCTACCATCGTTGAAACGGCATCGCATCGAAATGACCCGTGACGAACCAACCAGTGCAATCCCAGTGGGCAGCGGCTCAGAAACAGCCTGCCACATGTGGGAAGACTTTCTATTATAAAGGTGGTATCTCAGATCAACAGGCGAAAGTCAGGTTATTTAATAAATGACATGGAGGAAAAGTGGCCATTTGGAAGAACCTCCTACCTCCTGCTACACTGTAATGAACTCCAGATGCACTGGCTGTCTGTGCACAGTAACCAAATCTGTAAACATATTAGAAGAAAATAAGGAACTCTTTTCATAAGATAAAGGTAGAGGAAATTCTCCTAAGACATGAAGCCCCCACACCACAAAAGAACAATTAGACAGATTTGACTGCATCCAACATTAAAACATCCATAAATGCACACTGAAAACACCACAAACGAGACACAAGCAACAGACAGCAAGGAAATATCCGCAGGACGTATAACGCAGGGAAGATTCGTGTTCCCAGAATATACAAAAGGGCGGTGAGAGTCAGTAGGACAAAGACAAGCAACAAAGACAAGGAGCATGGGCAAAGGGTGTGACCAGGCAAGAGAGGAGAAGCACACGTGGCTGCCACAGAGGACGTGGAGATTCTCTTTGTCCACGAGGTGGGCAAAACGTTCCTGAAGCTGAAGAACGCTCATTGCTAGTAAGTGTGTCTGGAACCTTCAGAAGCAGCAACTTCATCAGATTTCCGCTCCCTTCTCGGCATCCATCCCACACCCATCACCACTTGAGCCCATGGAGGTTTGAGGACAAGGGCGGACACTTCAGTGTTGTTGACAATAGACATTTGAGAACAAACCCCTACACCCACCGATAAGGGATGGTTACAAATGCACGGCTCCCTCATCCGGGGGACCCCAAGCAGAAGTTAAAGCCGGTCGACCTGGACACGGGGCCTGGGGTGACATCGCCGGTGAATTGCTCAGTAGAAAGGGCTGGTAGCAGATCGACGTCTCAGCACCGTCCACGTGCCCCGCCAGACCAAGGGCTTCATGCCGACGGAGAAGTTCAGCCCTTCGAAGACAGCTCATCAGGTGGGACCACACACTTGAACTCCTTCCGAGATGGGGAGACCGACTTAGCCAGTGCCGGCGGCAGCTTGGGAGCCAGCCGGCTTCCTGCCTGTCCCGCCCTGGCAGCCCCTCAGGGTGGGAGGCGAGGGAGAGGTGAGGGCGTGCCCTTCTGATTGTATATGATTATTTAAGGAGGTGGGAGCATTTCACTCCTTTTTGTGCCTTTAAATACCTCTTTCAAATAATAAATTCAGCATACAAAGATGTATATGAAAACTGGCTCGCCGGGCGCGGTGGCTCACGCCTGTAATCCCAGCACTTTGGGAGGCCGAGGCGGGCGGATCACAAGGCCAGGAGATCAAGACCACGGTGAAACCTCGTCTCTACTAAAAATACAAAAAAAATTAGCCGGGTGCGGTGGCGGGCGCCTGTAGTCCCAACTACTCAGGAGGCTGAGGCAGGAGAATGGCATGATCCCGGGAGGCAGAGCTTGCAGTGAGCCAAGATCCCGCCACTGCACTCCAGCCTGGGGGACAGAGCAAGACTCCGTCTCAAAAAAAAAAAAAAGAAAAAAGAAAACTGGCTCAAGCCTCACCCCTGTGGGAGGCCTGTCCACGGCCTCCCTAGCTGGCTAAGGCTTCCCTGGGGGGGGTTCCATTGCTTCAGGGCTTCCTACCTGCTGGGAATGCTCAGCTTCTCTGCAGTCCCCCAGCCCCCAAAACACCAGGCACAAGCAAGAGCAGCACACTTTACTGAGGGGTGGGGCGGGGGCGAGGGCGCATCACAGAGCAGACAGCATTCTACAGAAAAGCCCCTCGGCCGTGTCCAGCAGGCGCCAATGCCCAGGACCTCAGGCCTCCTCTCTCTTTCTGGCTCACTAGCCCTGGACCCAATTTCTCGCCATCCCTCATGCAAGGCCAGCCCTTATAGGAACCACCGCTTTCCCTAAGGAGTCCAGGACCCATCAGTGGCCAGGAGACTGGGTCAGCCACAGGTGGCATGAAGCAGCAGTGGCCAGAGCCCAGGCCTCAGAGAAACCCTGTGTTGCCTGCCAAGCGCTATGTGTTGAGCCTGGGCCGTGAGACGAGCTGCTGGTGGAGCATCCAGCGTGGTGGCCGGTGGGTGTGGGGAGGCTGGGCTGGATGCGGGGGTGCAGGGCTGAAACTGGAGCGGGAAGGATCAGGACATCACTCCAACATTTCCCAGGCCGAGTCCTCCCTGCCCCCTCACCCCACGGCATCCAGTCCCTCTGGACCAGCCCAGAGAGATGGGTGGGCTTCCTCAACCCCTGGCCACAGGGACTGACCTCACGAGCCCAACTCAGCCAGGAGTGGCCGGAGTGGATGTGCAGCAAAGAGGCAGGGGGATGGAACAGGAGGGCTCCACTCGGCCTGAAGCAGCCCCCAGGGGCAGAGACAGCCGAGGTGGGGGGCAAGAGAAGCCCAGCATGCATGGTCTCATCCGTGAGTCTGCGAGGGCCCCGTGTGCACTGCACGCTGAGTGTACGAGGGTGGGTGTGCACAGACATGGGCATTTGCATGTGGGCATGCACACGTGCACCGGGACACGCCAATTTGTGCCAGTTACGTGCATGCCCCAGCACATGTGCGCAGGACACCTGGGGTTTGCTTGTGTGAAGGAGTGAGCAGGGCGGGCATGGGTGTGTGTGCACATGCTGGCTGCGTGGGCACCACCGTTTGTGGGCATGTCTGGTGTCTGTGGTGTGCTCACAGGATTCCGGCATCTTCCCCCAAGCCCACCCTGTGATCTTGCTCATCTCAGCTCTCACCCCATCACCCCAAGGGCTCCTAATCCTCACCAGGACCAAGCAGCCCAGCACAAGCACCCACCACCCCAGTGCCCTGAGCCCAAGAGCCCGAGACCATGGCTGAGCGCCCGCCCTGTCCTCAGCCCCTCAGATCCCTCAGCACCTCATTCCCAGCTCTTTGCCAGGACCCCTTTCCCGCCCCCGACACCCAGGCTCAGACCCGGGTCTCAGGACTCAAAAGTGACTTTATTTCTCTGTAGAAGACGCCCTTCCAGCTGGGCTGTTGCTTCACTTCCCCTCTGGGACCTGGGGGTCCCCCCACCCTCATCCCCAGGCCTCCTGCCCAGATGGCCTGGTTTCCTGGAGATGTCCAGCTTCCCGGGACTCAGAGCTAGCGGAGAGACAGGGAGGCTTCATGTTGGGGGAGGAATGAGAGCCACAGGCCACAGCCACGGAGCTGGGCCAAGGCTGCCCCCAGCCCCAGCCATGCCAGGCTGGGGAGGGGGCAGCCACAGGCTCAGGGGAGCAAGCTCAGAAGCCCCGTGGGAAGGAGGACACCTCAGGGCCCAGCCCAGAGGAGGGCGGGCCCCAGGCTGAGCAGGAGCCCCCCGGCCAGGGCCCAGGGGCTGTGCCCTGCCCCGGCCACCCCATTGCACAAATCCTTCTCGCAGCAGTCCACGTCGACTTTTAAGATCCCAGAGTTAATAAACCCCATCAGATAGTCTGAGAAAAAGTGTCGCTTAACGAAGTCGCAGGAGGAGGCACACATCTTGTTCACCGAGTGATCCTTCCTGCCTGGGAAGAGAAAGCACGGACTGCGACGGGGGCTCCTCCTGGGCCCTCTCTGCCTCCTCCCGAGGACCCAGCCCAGGCCCCTCCGGGTCAGCTCGGGGCCCCAGATAGGCAGAGCCGAGTCCCTCCACCCTCCCACGCTGGCCCCAACTAGATGGAAAAGGCCACCAAGGAGCCAGGGAGGGACAGCGGGGCAGTATCCTGCCCGTAGCCCCACGCTCTCGCTCTTGTCCCAGGCCAAAGGGGCTCAGAGGACACCTCTGACCTCTCCCAAGAGCCTGGCTTTCAGCACATTCCCCACTACCCTAAGTCCCAACTTACTGCTGCTGGGATCCGTGATTCGGACACTGGCACACACCGTGTCGGACGGCTGGCACTGCTTTGGGGTGCAATGGCTGGAGTTGGTGGTCAGGGTGCAGTCCTGGCACCACAAGCCATGAGCTGGGCAGGGCATGGGGAGGAGGGTGACCAGAGGCACTGGGCCCAAACCCAGGCAACCCCCTGTGTCCCTCACCCATCCCCCTGCTGCAGGCACTCCTGGGAGAGCCCTACCCCACAGGAGTGAGCAGGCCCTCGTGACCCCTGGAGGGGGAACAGAGGCCCTGGAACAACTGTGCCCCATCCTAGCAGTTTGAGGGGAGCCCCTATGGCCCCTCCCTGGCCCCCATGCACGTGCGTGCGCGCACACACACACACACACACACACACGGGCTATACAGACCCCACACCGACCGTGCCACCCTCCCACTCCCACCCTGCTACACATATCCCCCAGGAGTTCTGTGGGCTCCAAGCTGTGAAGGACCAAACTGGATTTGAAAGGAGGTCCGGGAGGCTCTCAGAGGTGACGGATGACCAGGGGCTTCCGTGCGGGGCCAGCCGCCCACCAGTTCCAGGCCCTGGAGGAAGAGCACTGGAGAGAGCCCAGTGCCAGGACAGAGGGGCCGAGGGCCGGGCTGGGGTTGCTGGGGTCCCGGAGGGGGCGTGGGCTCTATGGGAAGTGCGGTGGGAACCGTCAGAGGGTGACGGCCCCACACCCGGCTCTCCCGCGGCGCCTCGGGCTCTCCCACGCACCTGACCCAGCCCGCGGGCCCCCTACTCACCGGGCGCGGAGCACAGCAGGACGGCCAGCAGCGCCAGACCGAGGCCCTTCATGGCTGCAGGCAGCATGCTCCGGGCGGGCCTAGGGGCGGCGCGGGGGCTTGGGGCACGGGTCCTTTGGGGCGCAAACCTGGAGGGGAGAAGCATCGGTCAGGAGACCCAAAGACCCTCCCCTTTCCCAGCCTCTGGATGCAACCTTCTCCCCGGAATCCAAGGCCAGGGTCCGCCCGGAGCTCGCAGAGCCCCACCCCCAGCTCGTTCCCAGAGTGTCCGCCGTCACAGCATCCCCGCCGGGAGAGGTCTGGCCTCTGGGGCGAGGTGACAGCTCGAGACGCCCCCGCCCCGCGCCGGCACCTGTGTGGGGGAGCGGAGGGGGGGCGTCCTCTTCTCCCCGGGGAGCTGCAGGTGCGTCCGGACAGGAATGAGCGGCAGGGGTGGGAACGGGTGGGACCTGCCACTGGGGGGAGGGGCGCGTGCCAGGTCCCCACCCCCACCCCTGGGCTGGGGGGCCGGGAGCCCCGGGCCGAGTCCCCTCCCCTGGCCTTCCGAGCGCTCCTCAGCGCTCACCGCGGATGGGGCGTGGAGCGCGGGCCTCGGGGTCGGGGGGCGCACTCACATCCCGGGGGTGTCCGCACTCCGGGCTCGGGCGACGTGCGCGGCGCGGGGAGCTGTGCCCTTCGGTCTCCCTGCGGACCGGAATCCGGGCGCAGCCTCGTCTTTCGGGGAACGCAGCCGCAGACGCGGACCCCGCGCGAGGGGCGGGGCGGAGCCGGGGCGGGGGCCGCGCGGGGGGCGGGGGCGGCTGGGAGACGCGCGGGGCGGGGGGCGCCCGGGGCTCGCGGCCCCCACGCAGGTAGCTGGACCGGGCCCTCCGCGCCCCCTTGCTCGCGCGCGCGCGCTCCCTCCGGTTCCCGCTCCCTCCCTCGCGGCGCCCCCTGCTCCTCCCCCGCCTCCGCGGCCCCCTACCCAGGCGTGGGCAGGATCCCTTCCCCCTCTGCTTGGCTGAGATCCCCTTGGAATTTCTCGGAAGAACGTTTACTGCGAAAGGAAGCAAAATGCACAAAGACGCAGAGAGGGGGAGGTACCCGGTGCGGCGCCTCGCGCAGGTCCGGGTTCGAAGACCCCTGGGGTCAGACTCCCGCCCTGAGTCCCGGCCCTCCCCCTCCTCCCCGCCCTCCCCCTTCTCCCCGCCCCTCCCCACTGCTCCCCACTCTTTCCCACCTTCCCAACCTCATCCCCGTTTCGCCGTTTTCCAGTGGCTCCAGGCCGTTCTCCTCCCCTGAGCATCCATGAAGACCCCCACCAGAAGCCGCAGCCCCAGGGGCTTCTGTCGTCAAACACTCCCACACTCGGAGGTAAAGGCATAAATCCTGGCCAGAGCATCCGAGCCTTGGACCTGTTTCTCGGCTTCCTTGGCCTTCCCACCCTGCCCTCCAGCTCCCGAAAAGCTGTGCCTTTGCACGTGTCCCTGTGCCTGAAATCCGCCTCCCCGGGGCACAGGGGAAGCCCCGATCTTTGGTCCTGCTCCCTTTCATTTGACCTGAAAATATTTACTGCGTGCTCCCTGCTGGCCTAGCCCTGCCTTGGGCCCTGGGAAAGGGCATGAAGAGAGAGACCTAGTTTCTGCCCTCCTGACTCTCACCTTCGATAAATGGTGATCCCTACTGCAGCATATCTTTGCAGGATGTGACAGTCAGAGCTAACATTTATTGAGCATGTACTATGGATTCCACCTGTTCGAGACACTTCGTATTTATTATCTCGTTACAGTCTCACCACAGCCCTGATGTGCAGATAGTATCATTTACATCTCACAGATGAGGAGACTCGCACAGAAAAGTGGAGCTCCCTGCTTAGGGTCACACGGTGACGCAGGTGACAGGTGACACAGCTGAGCTGGGAACCCAAGCAACTTGGGCTACAGGGACTGCACACCTCCTCTCCATGTGTGGCTGTAGAGGGGTGGAGCCAAGGACGAGATAGACAAAAGACCACCACAGGAGCGCGCTTTGCCTCAGGGTTAGGAAAAGCTTCTCCCAGGACCTGACATTTTAACCCAGACCTGAATGAGGAGTTGAGATTCATAAGGTGCAGAGGGCAAGAGCTAGATCAAGGCTCAAACACAGTTCTTTTCAAAACATACAGAGCTCTCAAGAAAGTAAAAGAAATCTGAGTCCATAAAGAAAGAAGTAAATAGAATAATGCACCCCCAAAGTCTGGCCACTGAGCAGAAGGCAGATGTGAAAGCCACAATGGTCCTGGGCAGACCTGGACCCCCACTGGGTCTGAGGTCCTGGAAGCAGAGCCTGAGGCAGGGATTCCAGAGCAAGCCACTTCGCCATTTCGCTGGAGGTGCAGGTAGCAGCCCTGGGCAGTGGGGAACTGGTCCAGGGTGGGGAAGGAGGCTGGCAAGCATGTGGCACTCAGTGAACCCACGTGGTGGGGAACTGGAGCCTGACCTCAGAGAGGGACTCTGAGAAGTGGTGCAAACTGTGAGCCTCGGGTGAGCTCACCCAAGGGATGAGGGAACAGGTATTTTCACAGTGATGCCCAAGAGTCGTCAATTGAGGGCTGCCCCAAGGGGTGCCTTCTCCTGCACCCTCCACTTGGCACTCACACAGAGCCCTCCGGGGAGCCAGGGTGGTCCCAGGTCAGCAGCATCCCTGCTTGCAAAAGCAAAACCAACAATGAATCCTCTCCGGAGAAAGCAAGCCCCAACTTAGGGAATGGGGTTCCCACAGATTTAACTGAATCAAATGTAAGTTCAAAATGAAAAATCAGCACATATCTAAAGAAAGCAAGCCTCCAAGTGAGATTCAGCTGACAGTGACAAGCAACAGATTTAAATCACCACAGACTTTCTAAATGGAAAATATCAATATAGGATATAAAATTAACCTATTTGTTATGCTTAAGATAAAATAAGGAACAAAGCACTATGAAACTGATCACCATGCTTATCAGAAAAAAAACAGAACCTCTAGAAATGAAAAACTTTTCATTGAAATGAAAAGGTCAGCAGAAACCTTGAAAGAATTATGGTAACAAGAAAACACACTGTGTGGTTTTCTTTTTATGAAATGTCCGGAATAAACAATCCAAGAGAGACAGAGGTAGCTTAGTGGTTGCCTGGTGGTAGAAGGGTGGGATAGGGGAATCAGTTCCTCCTTAGGAACTGCTAATGGGCACTACTAATAAATAAAGTGATAAAATCACTCATTTGGGAGTGATGAAAATATTCTAAAAATAGAGATTATGGTCACGCAACTCTATGAATATACTACAAACCCCTGGCTTGTATATATAAAAGGGTAAATGTTACGGTATGTGAATGATATCTCAATAAAGGTGTTTTTGAAAATACTCAGAAAACAGATTATACATCAAATTAGACACAACTGAAGAGGGAATTCATAAACTAGAAGATAAATCTTTAAACAATTACCAAGAATATAGCACCAAGGATAAGGAAATAGAAAACAGGAAAAATAAGAAACATAAAAGATGGTGTTTTTCTGATGGCCGCTTGAGTCTGAGCAAGAAAAGAAGAAAAGAAAAAACTAAAACAAAACAAAAAGATGGTGTGCAGAGAGCTTGTGGAAGTGTGGTTGATATCTCAAAGGAAAGAGAGTCAATCATTGAAGAAGTTACGCCTGAGAATATTTCAGAACGAATAAAAAATAAGTATGCACAGAGAGGCACAACATGGACTAAATAGAATAAAGAAAAATAAAGTTTAGATGACATAGTGAAATTGCAGAAGATCTTTAAGCCAAAAAGAAAAGGAAGACCAGCTCCCAGGAAACAGCAATAAGATTGACAGCAGAATTCCAGCAGCTCCAGTGACAGCCAAAGCAGAGGAAAATCAGAGCTGTAAAGGGCTCAGAGGGAAATAACTGTCACTAAGAACTTGATGGATCTTCCAAAAATAAGTGTAAAACAGAATTTTCAGAAAATTAAAAGTTTAGAAAACAACTCAATAGCAAGAAAACAAATAGGCCAATTTAAAAATGAGCCAGAAGTGAAATAAACCTTTCTCAAGAGAGGACATACAATGCCATCAGGTGCATGAAAAAAATCTTCAGTATTATAATCAGCGGGGAAATGCAAATTAAAATCGCAAGGAGAGATCACCTCCTGCCTGTTAGAATACCTGTCATCAAAGATACAGGGATAACAATTTTTGGTGAGGATGTGGAGAAAGGGGAATCTTTGTGCACTGTTGGGGGAAAGGTAAATTAGTACAGCCGTTAGGGAAAGCAGTAGGGAAGTTCCTGAAACAATTGAACATTGAGCTACTTTACCACCCAGCACTTCCAGTTCTGGATAATAGCCAGAGAAATAGAAATCAGTATCTTGAAGAGAGGCCTGCACTGCCATGTCCATTGCAGCATTGTTCTTAACACCCAAGACATGGAATCCACTTGGGTCCAACAGCAGATGAATGGAAAAAAGAAAAAGTGAGAGAGAGAAAGAGAGATAGATTAGATAGATATAAGCCGGGCTCGGTGGCTCACACCTGTAATCCCAGCACTTTGTGAGGCTGAGGCGGGGGATCACCTGAGGTCAGGAGTTCAAGACCAGCCTGGCCAACATGGCAAAACCCTGTCTCTACTAAAAATACAAAAATTAGCCAGGTGTGGTGGCATGTGCACCTGTAATCCCAGCTACTAGGGAGGCTAAGGTAGAAGAATCGCTTGAACCCAGGAGGCAGAGGTTGCAGTGAGCCAAGATCACGCCACTGCACTCCAGCCTGGGCGACAGAGTGAGACTATCTCAAAAATAAGTAAATAAATAAATAAAAATATTAGAGAGATGTAGATCTATAAAGTGTTAAAATAAAGATTATGAAACTGACAGGATGCACTCTTTGTGGCAATAATACTCCAAATTATAAATAAGACCTAAGGCTGTGACAGGCAGGAATTAAGTCACACACCCCTAAACTTAAAGAATAAACTATGTTCTAACCACAAGGATTTTTCTTTTTCTCTAACAGCTAAACAACCACTGGCCACAAAAAAATGATATGTGTGCGAGGTGACGAATATGTTAATTAGCTTAATTTAATCATTATATAATGTATACATATATCAAAACATCACGGTGTACCCCATAAATATGTATAATTATTATGTGTCAAACTTTTTTAACTTTAGATAAATTTTTTCAGATGAATAAAAATCGGAGACATTTAGAGAGTTTACCACTAACAGCACTTCCCTAAAGACATTTTTAAAGAATGTACTTCAAGAAGAAAATTTGTCACAGAGAGAAGGTTAGGACCATGTGTGGTGGCTCACACCTGTAATCCCAGCACTTTGGGAGGCCTAGGTGAAAGGATCACTTGAGGCCAGGAGTTTGAGACCAGCCTGGGAAACAAAGGGAGACTCCATCTCTACTAAAATTTTAAAAATTAGCTGGGTGTGGTGGTGCACACCTGTAGTCTCAGCTACTCAGGAGGTTGAGATGGGAAGACTGCTTGAGCCTAGAAGGTTGAGGATGCAGTGAGCTGTGATCGCACCACCGCACTCCAGCCCGAGGAACAGAGCAAGACCCTGTCTCAAAAAAAAGTACCTGGCCAGGCACAGTGGCTCACACCTGTAATCCCAGCACTTTGGGAGGCCGAGGCGGGCGGATCACTTGAGGTCAGGAGTTTGAGTCCAGCCTGGCCAACATGGTGAAATCCCATCTCTACTAAAAATACAAAAATTACCCAGGCGTGGTGGTGGGTACCTGTAAGCCCAGCTACTCAGGAGGCTGAGGCAGGAGAATCACTTGAACCCGGGAGGTGGAGGTTGCAGTGAGCTGAGATTGCACCATTGCCCTCCAGCCTGGGTGACAGAGCGAGACTCCATCTCACAAAAAAAAAAAAAAAAAAAAAAAAGCAATTACATGGGTGGACTTTGGAGAAGGCAGGCTGCCTTCCGTCATGGTGGGCTTCATCCGTTCAGCAGAAGGCCTGGATAGAATGAAAGACTGGCCTCCCTGCGGCAGAGTCCTTGGACTCACACGGCACGTCGGCTCTTCCCGGGTCTCCAGCCTGCCAGCCCTGCAGGTTTGAGACTTACCAGCCTCCTTCATCCTGGAAGCCAATTTTCAAAAACCTCTCTGCACATGTGCATCCCGTTGGTTCTGTTCTCTCTCTGACCAATGCAAGGAGGGTCCTACAGCAGAGGGCTTGCCAGTCACTCAGGGAGTCACGGCTCGGGACCCCTTTCCTTCCATCCGCCTCGTCCTGCCCCCCATATCAAAAGACGACTGACCAGAGAGAAAAGCTTGGGAATGGCTTTGAGGTACACGATCAAAGAAGTCTGCAGAAATGGGAAACGCAAAGGGTTGAAGAGAGGGACAGACACTA